AAATATGGCTTGAATTAAATTATTTTTTTTAGAAATTTAGTATCAGATTTAAACAACTTTCTATCTCATATAAAAGTCATTCAAAGACTAGGTAAAGTTATTAAACTCGTCCAGGTTATAGCTTGTTTATTCAACTATGTCATATCAACGCTTTTATCGAATTCAGTTTTGGTTTCCACTTATATTTCCTACAGTCATTTATCATCTTTATAAAATAATCGGATCTCACAGTTCTGATTTCTAATAAATGTTGTGTTCAACTCAGGTTTACTGACAAATTGCGTAGATGTAGCAGTATAGATAACCTTAACGTGTCTTTAGGATTTATGCACCTAGTCACCAAAAGATCTCAGATCAAGATTGTGATGTCTGGTGATCAACTGTTATGGCTGCATCGCCAATTGTTAAATCTAGTCACCAACTGTTTCGTCAAGATTGCTTATTACTTATACTTGAAAAAACGAGAAACCCTTTCAGATAGCACGACGCGAACTAAAAACATCAATACTGGCACAAATCAAGGTTAATTAACTCCAAGTCAAGACAACGACAACAGTCGAAACTACACTCATTTATATATTGATTGTACACCCATCTTGATTAATAATTAGTATGAAATCACATATATGAAAAATACCCAGAGTTATAACGAATCACATGCTGCATGTCATGCTGTGCATAGTTTACATTAATCTAATAGAAGAATATCATATCTTGAATAAACATGATACTCAAATAAATTAATGTTAAACTGAATAAAATATCACACTGTCAAATAAAGACGAATATTACTCTGAATAATTAACGCATTGAATTAAAAAACACGGAAGTAATGTTGACCAAAAATCACAATGAGCAAAAAGATGTAATTTTGCCTTTTTAATCCCACCATATCAAAGATAACAATTGCAAAAGGTCACTTTTTTCATTTTTAAAGATAACATCGAGCATAGTAGTAGAATTTTGTATTTTCACAATTATCATTTAGTCTGCTAAAGGTTTTGCAGACAATTTCAACCTGAATTATAATGTTCAAACTTCCGAAGTTTGTTCTCACCACACATTTCAAGGTACTTATTCAGTGTTAAATAATCTTTATTCCCTTTGCATTCATGATCAATTAAAATTTTAGAAAATACCTCGATTTTTGTTATTCGAGATTTATTTAGATTTTCCAAAGTGTACGAGATGCTGGACGATTTACTGCGTTTTTTTCAAGAAAAGTTTCGTTCGAAGTTAAAAACTTCCGTTGCAGGTGGAATGACCTGTTAAAAATATTCGAATATTTGAACTCCGTGCACTACACTTCGTTTACTTATAACAAAATGATAGAAAAAGTGATTTACTTCAAATGTGCGCGACATTCGCTTGTTGCATTTTAAATGGTGTATAATAAATCATACAATGTTCGTTTGAAAAGTTGAGTAACGTTACTAATCAACAGTAATATCTTGAAGCTTGTAATCTAAATCAACACTACGGTGAGCTTGGTGTAATGGTATATGGTTTATACTCTTATGACAAAAGGCTATGTAATTATGTTTCAAAGTCGTCTTACAAATCGCTTCATTAAATTTGTTTACTGATGCAAGGCTGTAGATAATAGTCAGTCAGTCAGTCAGCTACAACGTAGGACCAGGCACATATGTGCATCGGTCCAGGTTGCCATACCTCATTAGCACAACAAGATGAACACCGGATTCATAGGAGTGGTTAGGTCAAAGGTTGCAATAAGGATATAGTATAGGAAGGAAGAATTAGTTCGTAGAAAGAAAGATATGAAGTGATTTTAATCTCTTAGTTTAAGGGAAGACAGGGAGTGTATACACCGACGCCATTGTGATCGATTCTGAGCCATGTCACCAAGAGTCTCCAACCATTGGTTTCGATAGTCACGCGGACCCCAACCAAGTAGTCTGCATCTACCAACATGGCTCAGACTACAAGTTAGTGACTTCAAGCACTGATGCCACGTTTTGGTTTGGCCGCCCCTAACTTTCTTCCAACCAACCCCTACACCGGTTAGCATTGCACGTCGTGGTAATCGGTGTTCAGGCATACGTAATACGTAACCCAACCATCTCAGTCGATGAAGGCAGCATCGCTATCATGCTGGTTGTCTGAAGGAAACACCTTACTGCTGTCACACCTCTGTACAGTCAGTAGTACGACTTCGCCTTCGGACCTTGGGTCTGTTGCTTTTAGTCTTACCGCTCTTCAACCGACCTGTCTGACATGGTAGGACCTTGAGGAACGGTTGTTCCAGCCAGTATAGCTCGGTTGCTTCATCACGATAGGCAAGCCCGACCACCACGTCAAGGTAGCAACAACGGTCGGGTGTAGATGATATATTCAAGGGAAATCAACAGGGTGTGGTGGATTACTCACCTACTCCTGTTACCCCTCGTAGAGGAGCATAGACCGCCGACCAACATTCTCCATCAAACTAATTGATTAACCCTTGATAATTTTAAGGATAGTGTCTAGTTTTAGCAGTTAGACTAACTGAAATCTGGAAACTGGATTCGGTCCCACATGAGTGGTCGCGATCGTTGATCGTCCCAGTTCATCAGAAAGAGCAAAAATCCTCATGTGATAATCACAGAGGAATCAGTTTAGCTTATAGTGTCTAAAATGATATCTCGACGTCTAGCTAGAGTTCGTGAGGAGCGAACCCGAGTAAACTGGTCTGGTTTCAGATCTGGACTTTGATGTATAAACCAAGTATTCACCACCCGTCAGATTCTGAAACATAGACATACTTTTCGACGTCCAACTGTAGGTGTATCCCTTGACCGTAAGACAGCACTCAACTCCGTTAATCGCGAGGAGATTCACTTGTTGACTTACAATACCCAGCTGACATTTTTCTGCTTGGTGAAGACACAGACAAAATACAATCCTCCAACCACCTTAAGTAACAATCTAAACATGTTTGGGATGCGGTTCTCTCCCTGCAAATGTAGAATGTCACTTCAGGATTGGCTTGCGTCATGGGCTGAACTAATGATGGTGAGTGTAGTAGTTGAACGCATCGACTACTTAACTTATCTTGGGTGCTTCGTTTGTCCTGAGGTCTGACGAAATCTCTGCACTGATTCGAAAAGCTTTATCGACTTTCGCTAACTTGCGTCACCTGTGGCGTAAGCGAGATATCCATCTTTTAACCAAAGGGCGAGTTTACTGCTCAACGATTCGTTCTCTTCCACTTTATGGGTGCGGAACACGGCTATTAAGAGTAAAGGATATTCGTAGGTTACTAGTATTTGTGTCTGGGTTAGGAATAGAGCGCAGGGCAAGGATGGCAAGTCGATTCAAGAGGTATTAAATCTTCATCAACTGAGGTGATTGGGATATAAGTTACCCATGTCCATCCACCACCTACCTTGACGGGCAATGTTTTCTGGTGTAGGAGTAGGCTGAAAGAAAGCTAAGGGTAGCCGAACTAAAACATGACATCAGTCCATAAAGTCACTAACAGTTGGACTTGGATATATTAATAGTTATAGACTATCTAGTATGCGTAATTATCGTAATTAATGGTTAGAGACTTTGAGTGACGTGGCTCAAAATCGTTTGCAATGGCGCAGTTGCATTCATTTGGTGTCTTTCCCCCAAAACTGTTTTTTCTCAGTAGTTTATATTTTCTTTCTGAATTGTATCTTCGATGCCTAGTCTTTCCTATTCCCACTGGTAATGTTACTACCTCTACTATTCTGGGATTTGGCCTGACAATTTTATCACTATGTTAATGGGGTATGGCAACTTGGACTAATGTACATACGTCCAAATTCTACGTCTAAACTGGCTGTATCGAGCCTTCAATATTATTGACCTCTGCGATACCTTTCATTCGAATCAGCAGTTGTGCTTTCCTAAGGAAACTGATGTTTTCTTCTTACTCACAATTCATTTTTTTATTTTCGGAAATCTAACGCTTTGCTGTTGTCCTCATTGTTTCCTTCTGTTTACCAATACTTCCTCAGCTTATGTCATCAAAGCATTGCACAATCGACGCAAGTTTTTATGAAACATACAAGTACAAGTTTTATTTTTTATTTCCTGTATTGTCATTTTAATACAGTTCAACCTGTGAAAATAAAAATTGATCATAGGTAGTCCTTTTAGCTAGTAATTCATTTTTCCTTCACATATCTTTCCTTTTAATTCATTGCTTTTTCAGACTACTTCCATACGTAATGTCAGGGAACACATTTCTTCTTCCTGAAGATCCTTACGGCCCTAAAGGTCCATCCTTATCTGAATGTTTAACAATATCAAATTCAACCAAGGATTAATTGGGCTAATCTTTTCATATCTGCCTTCTTCGAATGCTACTTTATTTAACCCAAGTTTCGGGAGAAGCAGGAACGAATGATTATCTTCATCTTGAATTATTGGTTTATTTCTTTATGTATAAAACGCTCCAGAAATGTTTGATTTATGAATTCAGAGAAAACCTTCATTTATTCAAATTACTTAAAGTATTTTGTTACTCTCTTGTCTTACATTCGTTCAATAAATAAGACGTTTAAGTCGTGAAATAACTACAGTATCTGTATTTGAGGATGATTTATTCATTAAATAAAAGTGATCAAAATGTTATTTCCACCTGTTAATCAACTCTATTTTTTAGTTGTAATACTTCTGTAACCAAATCGATCGTTTCAGTTAGGTCAGAAATTGAATTTATTTTGATAAATGTATTCATTTACATAATTTTTTCTTATTATATATCACACCAACAGTTTCATTAAAATGCAAGTACAATGTAATTAAATAGGCGGTCAGATATGCTTTCCAGGTTGATTGAACTGCATAACAATATCTGTTAGCGCAAAACCTCCGTGAAGATGACATCATATATGAAGACCGAGCGTGATGAAATCACATTCATTTAGATTAATCGATTTAATTCGAGATCACATAATCCGAAGTAATGATTTTTGTCTGAACAGAGTCACTCTTCAATGTGGACGTACATAAATAGCCTTAAGCTAAACAAGTGTTACGTCATAATTTTTTAATTATTGATTGCTTTTGAGCGTTAAACATAGCTAATTACGTTGATCACAGTCATAAATCCAAACATTATTTTAAAATTTCACCCTAAGCGATTCAACAGTGCTCAATTAATATAAAGCAGGTCTTAGTAATATTTGCATATTGCTCAAATCGAAGCGCTTTAAAAATGGCAAGTGCAAAAACGAGTGGTAATAAACTAACAATGATATGTGTGGATCGGAATAAAGAATAGATGAATCATATGCTTTTTAATAAGTAAATAAAGGTAAGGAATGTATATTTGCCTGTCATAAGTCGCAACCATGCCATACTAAGTTTCCTTACAATTGATTACGACCGTCCTGTACATCTTATCTAGTAGGTCTATGTCCCCCCATGTAGCACAGACCGATCCCATGTCTTAACTTAGTCCCCACTCATAATGATGAGCATAATGTGCTAATAAATTCGGTGGCTGGGTGTGTAACAAAGATTCTTCTGTCGTCTCATTATAGGTTCACAACTCCATTAAAAGGTTTACTAGGAATTGTTGACTAACATCAACATTCGTAACTTTTCACGAGTATACTCATGACCTACACATTATCCTTTAAGCACAGCTGGATTATTCGGAATTCGTCCTGTTACTGCACACGTATCAAGACGTACAGTCAGTATCGCAGAGGTTTTTTCAGTAGTAAGTTTCAATCAACGGAAAAAGAAAGGCGCTGAGATACAACTCAGTGAGCACCAACCAAATCACACCTGGTGAAAGGACTATTCTTGGGCATGATCATCGATAAACGAAAACAATCTGATGCAGATGTGAAGGCAGTAATTGAAAAAGCAAAGACATCATACCTACAATATGAGAATATCTTGAACTTTCAAGAACTATTACCCAAGTCAGACTCTTCAATACCAACGTTAGAAAAATCAAATGCACGGAGCTGAAACTTGAAGAACTATTAACACCACCATTAAACGACTATCTACGCAAGATAATAGAAACACATCGCCAGTTGAGGAAAGAGATTGAATCCATAACGCCTGTTCCACTACTAACCACTATCCATCTTTGCATATAATGCTTGTGAATTAGGGCTGTATCGAGGCAAAACGCACACATGCCGATAAGAGACTGATCAATTGCAGTCCTAAACGTCAATGGGAAGATTCAAACAAACAATACCAAGTGAATTTAAACTTCACCCCATTGCATAAGCAAGTGGTTATTAGGACTCAGTAGCTAAGTGGATAACGCGATGACGTTTGAAGCGAACGGTACTGAGTTCCAGTCCCAGAGTGGACATCAACTCTGAGAAGGTTCATCCAGCTGACGAGCCCCGAATTGGATGACACGCGTTTCCTGAATTCAGCTACTAGCCACCATTTATCTTTGATTATAATATAAGTAATACCTAGAGTCCGGCGTACATACGTATTGACTTTAGCAGTTAACATTGCACATCAAGACTGCCCACAAAATGTTCATCAAGAGAAGCAAATAACGGTGGAATGAAATTTTATCAATACTAACCCTATTGGGCTGATTTACGATAGATTCTTAGAACTTAAACAGAAAATAAATGTCCACTTAAAGCTAATGTGGTATCACAAGATAACTGATTACCTCTTCGGACTTCGCAAACCACGCACCAAACATTCCCAAAAGCAAACAAAGCAGTTCACTCGGTTTAACCTACTGGGGGACCCATGTTCACAAATAGCGGAAAGCACGCTAAAACTAATGCGTAATTATGCACCTTTTTGGCATCGCTTGTAAGTAGTTTTGCCCCGACCGTTGTTGCTACCTTGACGTGGTGGTCGGGCTTGCCTATCGTGATGAAGCAACCGAGCTATACTGGCTGGAACAATCGTTCCTCAAGGTCCTACCATGTCCGACAGGTCGGTTGAAGAGCGGTAAGACTAAAAGCAACAAACCCAAGGTCCGAAGGCGAAGTCGTACTGCTGACTGTACAGAGGTGTGACGGCAGTAAGGTGTTTCCTTCAGACAACCAGCATGACAGCGATGCTGCCTTCCCACAAGGAGGGGTGGGGTTAGAAAAGGTCGACCCTAAAAATGCACACCTCACCTTACCTCACGGATTTCCGTCTCCGGCGGTAAGGCCCTTTGAAGAACGGAGCTAACACGTCGATAACCTCCCACAAAAAGGCCGTGCGCGACCGGCCTCAAGAAGTTGTCCCTTGGGCACTGCGGTCACGCTCTCAGGTCACTGAGACCACCTCTAATCCAATTTCCTTTTCAGGTACCTCCAGAAGAACCCTTCCACGGTGTGGGCAACCGGGAAGTGATAACCGCCCTCATACCTCTAACAGCACCCAAGACCACTGTATTCATAATCAACCTTCCTCTTCAATTCCTATTATTCCTCCTACATCGACTTTCAACCCTAAACTTCCTCCTTCGGCTTCCTCCTCAAGTGTCACCATAGCCAACGATTCTAGTGCTCAAAACTCTGTCCCAGGTCTACTGAAACCTCGCTCCAAACTACACATTGGAGCTTTCAACGTACGCACTCTATGTCAAATCGGTCAGCAGGCTTCCTTGGCTAAAACCCTAGAGTCTCTTTCCATTGATGTATGCTGTGTCTCTGAAACACGCATACAGGATCCCAGTGTGGTCATTCACTTGACCTCACCTCGGCAAAACGGAGAGCCAACGAGATACACCCTTCGTGTATCTGGTGACCCGATGGCCAGTTCTCGTGGACTGGCAGGTGTAGGCATAGCACTAAGCATGATGGCCGAACAAGCACTGCTAGAGTGGATCCCCGTCAACAGTCGTTTATGTGCTGTTCGGCTGAACGGCTACGTAAGAACTCGGAAGGATAGGGACACACGTCGTTGCCTTTTTGTCGTTTCTGTCTACGCTCCCACTGACTGCAGCTCAGATGAAGTGAAAGATGAATTTTACATAAAGCTTCTTGAACTTCTTCATACAACTAAACGCTCAGACATAGTACTCGTAGCAGGTGATTTTAATGCTCAGATAGGTAGCTTAAACCAAACAGAAAGGCATTTAGGTGGATATTTTAGTATTCCGACACAGCGAACAGATAATGGTGATCGTCTGCTGCAGCTGTGCTCAGACAATCGTTTATTTTTAGCAAACACAAATTTTAAGCATAAGGAGAGACATCGTCTAACATGGCGACCCCCTACACCAAACCAACGATGGACTCAAATAGACCATATTGCCATCAGTCATCGTTGGAGAGGGTCGGTAGGAGATTGTCGCTCATTCTGGAGTACCTGCTTGGACTCCGACCATGCCCTAATACGGGCACGCATCTGCTTGCGCCTCACTGGACGCAAAAAAGCCACATTAAAAAGACCCGTTAGAACTGAGTTGAGTAACGAGAAAACCAAAAGTAGGTTCCAGGAACAACTGAGGTCACACTTAGGTAGATGTGAAGACGAGGCTGACCCAGATGTTGCTTGGAAGGGCATACAATCAGCTGTGGAAACAGCAGTGACATCTATTAGTGACCTAAACCACAGAGTTGCAAGGAACCAGTGGATTTCTTCAAGGTCTGTCACACTGATGGATTCTCGCAAACTCGTCCCATCAGGTTCTGAACATGATAAAGAGCGTAAACAAATCAGATCTAGGTTAAGAAAAAGTCTAAGGAACGACCGTGAGCAGTGGTGGGTAACGAAAGCAAAAGAGATGGAAAAGGCGGCGACTATAGGGAACACAAGACAGCTTTACAGACTAATAAAAGAAACTGGAATTAATAAGTCAAGTGTAAGTGAGATTATTTCGGAAAAAGATGATACTCTCATCTGCTCCCAGTCCAGACGTTTAGAACGATGGGCGGAACATTTTAGAGAACAGTTCAGCTGGCCTTCAGCTACTCTACAACTACCCTCCATTCCCAGACAGTGTGAATGGAACATTGAAGTAGGTCCCCCAACTCTTGCTGAAGTTCAAAAGGCTATAGTTAATCTGAAACGAGGAAGAGCAGCTGGTCCAGATGGATTGGCTCCAGAGGTCTTTAAGGATGGTGGTCCAATTTTAGCGATTAGGTTGACTAATATTTTAGCTAAAATCTGGGAATTAGACTTTATCCCATCTGACTGGTTGCAATCACTTATCGTCCCAATATATAAGAAAGGGTCAAAATCATCCTGTGACAACCACAGAGGGATTAGTTTAACAAGCATAGTATCTAAAATACTGGCCTCGATAATTATCAGACGCCTAACTAAGACTCGTGAACTACAAACTCGAGAGAACCAAGCTGGCTTTAGACCTGGTCGTGGCTGCATCGACCACATATTCACCATTCGTCAGATTCTAGAACACAGGCATACCTATCGGCGTCCGACGATGGTGGTCTTTCTTGACTTAAAAGCAGCGTTTGACTCTGTAGACCGCGAGACTCTGTGGCAGTGTCTGTCATTGAAAGGCGTACCTCAGAAGTACATAAACCTTGTGAAGGCTCTTTACTCGAACACTACTAGTCGAGTCAGGGCTTATGGCGAACTGTCATCTACTTTTGCAACTTCAAGTGGTGTCCGTCAAGGCTGTCCACTTTCTCCATTTTTGTTTAACTGACTGACTGACTGAAGTAGTTTTGCCAGAGACTGAGCGATGTCGGAATTTCGACTGAGTGCAATTCAACTGAGTTGCCATGACGTGACCAACGTAATATTCACCGGTATGCTTGAATTTAATGAAAGAATGAGTATGGAATACACATTCTGATACAACAATTAATGTTTTTTAAACATTTAAAAGAAAACATTTCGGATATTTGTGTTTACAAATGTACATATTAGGCAAAAGTTTGAACACTAGTTTGAAATGCTTTGAGAAATCAACCGGAACAGTATTGAATTCAAGTTTATTTTTTACGTCCTCGTTTATTAGGGCTATTCTTGTTTTTATTGTTAGTACTAGAGGACTGAGTTGTAGTATTTGAACCATTTTGTATAAAATCACATAATAACCCACGACTATTAGAATCAGAATTATGGTATAGTCGGAACAAAAGACTGGGTGGTGGAGCAGGCGGTAAATTAGCTTCATCATCACTAACAAGTATAAGACTTTCTTCATGAGCATCGTCGTACGAACTTGAGCCATTTCTTGACTCAATACTATGAATATTGGGACATTGATTACCATCAATAATTCCCTCTGCCGTTGTAATTGTATTCAAAGGAAGTTGTGACTGAAACACAAAACTAACTTTTACTGACGACTGTTGATTATTTTTACAAGATTTCAGATCTAGAGATTGATTGCTATTAACTTGATTTAAGGAAGCTGAGGTATGAGCACGTAGAGCTGGAGGCATAGAACTTGGATTCATGACACATGTTTTCTTATGACCGGGTAAAAGGGATAACTGGCCAATAAAATCACAGCCGAGTGCACGCCAAGGACATGCGACCTAAATGGAAAATTAATGTATTGCAAAAATGAATAGTAAAATGAAAAACAAATATTGTTATCACTGAATCCATAACAAATGTATTGGATTTAAGTTTATCGTTGTGACAATTTAAAACAGTATAAACAACTTACTGAGAACAAAAACTGCTCATTGACACAAACATTAGGCTATTTAGTTGGCGAAAATATAGCAGATCCTAATATAGTTGGATTTAGTCTGAGGATAAAGTACGGAGTCGCACTGCTAACCATATCGGGATGTAGTGGCAGTAACGTCTTTCCCATAGAAGGTCAACATCTCGAGATATCCTGATATCAAACAAACGGAAGGAAGGATAAGTGAAATTCAGACTTAAAAATGACACAACCTTTCTTTCCTCACGAGCAAACCGAGCTGGTACAAGATTTAAAAACAAAGTCAGTATATATAAACGTGTAGCCGGCCGACTGCAGATGTTTCTTAGCTTGAATGATTAGGCTTCCAAATATATTAAGTTTTCGGCATTAATTTTATGGGTTTACAATCAATAAACATTTTCCCTTACTATGATCAGCCGGGAAGTATTGACAGCTTATAAACCTCTAGCGTTTCGTTCGTTCATGCTCTTCACTATCAATTTGTTTTATTTATTCCTGGATACTTTCATATTTCTGTCACTATTTTTCATTTTCCAAATTTACAAACCGCGCCAACAACTTATGTTTATGGAAAGACATCCCTAGTCTTTTGAAGTCATTTTCCATAACACACAGAGATTCTAATATTCAGGCGCTGTTTTAAATCAGATGCACTAGCCAGAACTGCAAAATCTTAGCATTCGTGAATACGTCTCCGGAACTCGTTCAAAGGATACAAAATTCATTACTTGCAGGATCTAACATGATTAGTAGGACTGATCTATTGAGTTGTCACAGGCTACATAGCAAATATTCATCATCCCACTTCTGAACAAAATCCCAACGGACAATCGATCATACGTCGACTAAATGGAACTGAAAGTTTCAGGCAGGATTAAAATGGACCCAATTAACCAGACTAATTCGAACAGAAAATACTAAAACAGTCCTTTCTTAATCTTAACCAGCGGAATCGGTAATTGACGGCTTGATATAACCATACTCTGATGATCATTTATTTCAAGTAGGTACCAAAATTTAGACAAAAGTAGAAATACTTTCTAACCTGATGATGACCGCCCCCAACTTAACAGTGAATCTAAATAGATTCTACAGTAATAACCATCTAACAGATGATCCCCCGATAACTCATAATTTAGTCCCAAATATTCTTAAGTGGAAGCATGTATAGATCTAAAAGTGACATAACACAGGAAAACCAGAACTTTATGATTAATTCAAAGATGGAAATGTTAAGAGTGTATATCAAATAGTCGGTGAAAAATTAGTGGGACATGGAAAGGATTTTCGACCATAAAAATGAGAAATAAAAATTATTAATCAATAGTAAACACTACTGGATCGAGACTTCTTTCAACTCACGTAGAAGCGTTTCGAACATGAGAAACGTTAGTGTAAGGTGAAAAGTCTGCGAGATAAACTCAACCAGTAATTACTAGTGCATGAAGGACAAAGGAGAGGCAGTGGAAGTAGATATATACTACCTAGAAGTATCAAGGGAATTTATGAAATTAAGCGCTAGATAAATACTAAATTTCGAAGGGTGGCGAGTGATTTCTGTAACGTATGTTATACTGACATTGAGGTCATTTGGATACTTTAAATAAGTTTGCATGTTACATTACGATTACTTTTCCTGAGATAAAAGGTTGATGACCGATCAACAACGCATAAATGATTTACAAACTGCAGAATAGAATGTCTGATATATAGGTCAAATGTTGTAAGTTTTCCCACGTTTGCACAAAATTGTACGATTCATATACATTTTTTTGAAAGCTATTTTTACAGTAGTTTTTCTTATATAATTACATGAATATTCCAATTTTTGTGAACCTATTTAAAGCATGAATCAAAGTAGTTATATGAAAAATTTTAAACAGGCTTAATGGTTGAGATGTCTGGGCTTTAACCGATGGACATCATGTTAGAAATTCACTCTACATGAACCTGCTCATATATAATAAGTATACATACGGATATGTAATTAGAGAATCAACAATGAATTAGTTTAGTTTCTGATGGAATTTTGCTGTCTGTCTTAATTAAATCCACAGCAGATAACTTTCTCACTGGTTTCATTTCAAGTCTGAAAGAAAAGACAATCTAATGATCAGGAATACGGAACAAAACAATACATTGAAGCAAAAATAGAAACCGTATGATGCTTTGAACCAAATGTAACAAAATGACTTACCATATAATCACCTATTATATTTTCCACAATAAAATCATGATGCATTGATCCTTTTGAAATCGGTTTACGGTCCACCGGACAGTTAGGAGTATTTTGAATCCAGGGCTCAATACACTGAAAGTATATAAAAGTAACTTTGAAGATATTTACCGTTTGGTAAGAACTATCTGGTATACAGACGATATTTTGTTATGTGCAAAGAATAGATATTAAATGCTAGATGTAAATCAATTTCTTTAGACATAAGAACTACTTCAATATGTGTCACAATAGTGAGGTTGAGACGAAGGTTACGGTCACAAATGGTCGACTTTCGGGTCAAAAATGTGGATCTAAAAATACTGCGAACTAAGTGACGTAACACTTATAAGACGAGGATTAAATGTGCTGGAACTCCAATAACATACATTTTGTATCCAAGTAAATCTAAAAATGGAGAACTAAAATTCGATTTCTAGAAACTAAAAACATTAGTCAAACAGGATTGGTACTTTGACAGGAGACTACCTTTATCATCATAATAAAGTATCCTAAACAACAACGCACAGTATGCACATATGCCCATAAGAGACTGATCAATTTCAGTCCTAAACATCAATGGGAGGATTCAAGTAAAACATTACCAAATGTTTGATGAGTAGTTTACTAATTTCGGTTAGTCAGTTATATTGTCACACATCAGTAATTTTGAGCTAACACTTATTTTCTATTCGAGCAGTGAAATTCTGTCTGGTTTTTGAAAAGAGACATAACTTATCGGAATTTTTGTATGTTGTAATTGGTATTGAATCTTATCAGTGAAAATGAAGTACACGCATGGGGGTAGAAATAATAAATGTCCTAGAAACATGGTTCGTGTGTAGTACGGCTATTAAATAAACGATAGTATTTGTTTCGAAATACGGGGAAAAGTTACTAGTGTGTGATTCGTCATAATCCTAGTTAGTCGGGGCGTGTACGATCATCGATTTCTGCTTCGATTTCAGCAGGTTAGAAACTGGCATCCGTATATTAAGTCATTGACTGCTGATCTGTGCTGTAGTCGTTACAGGCATATCATCTTGCGTGCTCAGGACGATCATAATTAGTTGTTGCTATTCAGATCAATAAGCCAAATCTTTGCATCCAAAAGAAATATGTAGCCTGGCCAACTAGTTAATAATCAACCTTATAATATGGTGACGTAATTTGATTAATGTTCATTTTATGTCCCAAACATTATGATTATTATTATTATCAGGTTTTAGGGGTTGTGGAGATTGTTAAGTTTTTGATTGAGATTATGAACTAATTGCTGTTAGACCACCATTGAAAACCTGGAAGCACTGGACGGCCGTTTTGTCATATTGTGGGACTACTCAGCAGTGCGCATCCACGATCCCGCTGGCGGGACTCGAACCCAGGGACTTCAGTCTCGCGCGCGAACGCTTAACCTGCTGGACCACTGAGCCGGCATCCAATGGTGTTCATGTCTAACCTCAACCAATCCACAAGGTTGTGCGACCATCTTCCATTGTACTGAGGTAGACACCTGTTTCTACCCGACACGGCTTCTCACCAGAACTCCGAGAATTTTCTCACGAAGCTAGTCACTAGTGAGCACATGGTAATTATCAGTTTTTAGGGGTTGTAAAGATTGTTAAGTTTTTGATTGAGATCATGGACCGATTGATGTTAGACTAACATTATTATTACTAATATTATTATTATCTTTACCATTGTTATTATCATCCCTATCATTGTTTTTATTATTATCATTACACTTGATAACCTTTTTGAGGAATTTATTCAGTATCCATCCCTATCCACTATATCTGATCTAATTCATATTATTTTACATATTTCGTAATTTCTGATTTGTAATTACAATATCCTATCTCTCTCTCTCTTACCCCATGTTGACCATATTTATTATGACCATTTATCGTACAATTTCATTTCGCTTAGAAAGTGATTCAAGTTAACACTTCACATTAGTCATCCCAACATTAACGATTTGATTTTGTATGACAAACAACAATTGGTTCGCATGTTACAATTTTAAATGATGTACTCTGCCTTAAATCTGGCCAATTTTATGGATTATTAATTTGGATATATAACTGTAAAACCTGATGAGAAATTATTGGAAAGAGTATTCTTCGTTCACGTTAATTGTGTTCGTCTTACTTAAGTTACTGGCCACAGATAGTAAAAAACACGAAATTAGACAAGTAATTATGCGCGTCTAAATTATCACCCGTACGTAATTGGACAACCGAGTCATGTTAGAGTTAGGATTGTTTTCTAATTGAAGCGGTTTCCGGTTGGAGGCCGAAATCAGTAATATGTTACTGTACTTTTTTATTACATCACAAGCTGTCATAACAGAGGTGCATCAGATTGACTACTATATTATTATGAAACCAGTGAGTATCGTACTTTATCACTACCTGCATATTTCTTTTCAAAGAACTTGGCAGAAAACGAATAAATGAAATACAATAGCATTACGAAGATAGAACTTTACGAAACAAAAGGAACCTGCAGTTTTATGAATCTCGGAAGTACGATAAGTATTAACATAAAAAGCATTTATTTACAAACTTACATTCTTGCAAAAACTATGACCACAAGGAGCACGTTGGGGGTTACAGAAAGCCTCTTGACATATTGGACAGAATAGATGAGGACTCAAAGCTGACGGATTGACGAACGTTCTAGAAATGTGGAGCGTAGTAAAGCTTTTTACCTCTCCTCCGGAAAAAGATCTGACTTCCTAGTGGAAGTTTTTTTGATGGAGCGACGTTGACCAGTCATCGTATGACTAGGCGCACGACCTGGAAAATATCAGATAAGACTTTAGTGAAGCTATTTCGATATGAATTAAAAGTCTGACCAAGGAAAAATTAGAAACGTTAACTTCAAAGCTCTTTCAAGTATAAGCAAGTGTTTAGTATGACGAAAACAAGTGATATGATGGATGGAGATCGCCAACCGAAGAAGCAACCACGATGTACATACAATATACTTGTATTGCTCTGCTGCTGAGAATGGACTCTACAACAGCAAAGCATCAGGTCTATAATGCTACTATCGTAACAAAGGTTTTTTAATACTTATTGTTAAGGAAAGCTTTCACACGTTCAGTTTCAGTGTGTAAAGGACAGTAGGCTAGGTGGCCTGTGTTAGTTCTGGCAATAATGGTCTCTCAGTTGATTGCTTTTGAAAGAGTTGAGGTAATTAATCCCACTCGTTGATGATTCGATGGGAAAGTCTATAGTCAACCGGCCGTTAAGGCCGAAATTAATCTGCCTTCTTTTTCAGGTTTCTCGGGAAATACCCTTCCATGGTGTGGGCGGCCGGGAAGTGACATTAGCCCTCATACCCGTAACAGCACACGAGACCAAGTTGGTCACGTTCAAATCTTTCCTACACCTCCTAATGCCTCTCTTATCTCCCCGACTAACCCTCCTCACGTCTCTTTATCACCTCTCATCGCTAGGGCAAACGATACAAATACGCGGAACGTTATTCCTGGTCTCCTGAAACCACGCTCTAAACTACATGTAGGAGCTTTTAACGTTCGAGCACTGTGCCAAATAGGACAACAGGCTCGCTGGTGTAGGTATAGCATTGAGTCCTAGGATGAGTTTTGCAGAAAGCTTTCCGACCTTCTACGAAAAGCTAGGCGCTCTGATGTAGTAATAATGGCCGGTGACTTTAATGCTTAAGTAGGTAAACTAAGCAAAAGACACCTAGGTGGATTTTATGGTGTCATAGCTCAAAGAACAGATAATGGCGACTGTCTGTTGCAGCTATGCTCAGATAACCGCCTGTTTCTTGCAAATACTAACTTTAAGCATAAGGAAAAACATCTTTTAACATGGTGACCCCATAATTCGTTCCAACGTTGTACCCAAATAGATCACACCGCTATCAGCCACCGATGGAGGGGCTCGATAGAAGACTGTCGCTCATTCTGGAGCACATGCTTAGATTCAGATCAAGCTCTAGTACGAGCGCGTATTTGCTTGCGTCTTACTGGACGTAAGAAAGAAGCTGCAAGGAAACCTCTTAGGGGCCTACTTAATGATAGTCGAGCTGAGAGTATACTTCAGGAACAACTAGGAAAACGGTCAGGCAGCCATGTAGGTGAAGCCCGCCCCGAGGCAGCATGGAATCATATCCGAAAAAACAAAAGTCCTCTTGTGACAATCACAGAGGAATCAGTTTGACTAATAGTGTCTAAAATGTTAGCTTCAATAATACTTCGACGCCTAACTAAAGCTCGTGAAGAGCAGACTAGAGAAAACCAGGCTGGTTTTCGACCTGGACGTGTTTGTCACTGAAAGGAGTACCAAAGAAGTACATTAACCTTATACAGGCTCTCTACTCCAACACAACTGGTAGAGTGAGAGCTTATGGCGAACTGTCATCAGAATTGACTACCTCAATTGGTGTTTGTCAGGGCTGCCTACTATCTCCATTCTTGTTTAACTTTGTCGTTGACGTACTTTTAGAGATAACACTCTCCTCATCTAAATTTACAGGGGTTGAACTTCTACCAGGAGATTCACTTGTTGACTGAGAATATGCCGATGACATAGTTTTATTTGGTGAAGACGCTGACAAAATGCAGTCTTCTGATCACTCTAAGCAACAATGCAAGCATGTTCGGGATGCGATTCTCTCCCTCGAAATGCAAAATGTTGCTTCAGGATTGGGTTACATCGACACCCGAACTAGTGATAGGGAGTGAAGTAGTTGAGTGTGTCGACCGCTTCACTTATCTTGGAAGTCTCATCAGCCCTTATGGTTTAGTGTGTGACAAAATCTCAGCACGGATACAGAAAGCTCGACTAGCTTTTACCAACTTGCGTCATTTATGGCGTAGGCGAGATATCCGTCTGCTAACCAAAGGACGGGTTTACTGTGCAGCAGTCCGTTCCGTCCTACTTTATGGTAATGAAACATGGCCAGTAAGAATAGAGGATATTCGTAGGTTACTAGTATTCGATCAAAGGTGTCTTCGAAACATTGCTCGTATATCCTGGGACAATCGAGTAAGTAATGCAGTTGTTAGGAAACGGGTACTAGGTATGGATGGCAAATCAATTGATGAAGTAGTGAAACTTCATCAGTTGAGATGGCTGGGATGTGTTACGTATGCTCAACCACCGACTGCCTCGACGTTCAATGGCAGAGAAGTAGGTTGGAAGAAAGCTAGGGGCTGCCAGACCAAAACATGGCACAAGTCCATGAAGTTACTGACAAGTGGACTGAGCCATGTTGGTAGGTGTAGACTACGTGGTTGGAGACCGCGAGATGAAAGCAACCGATGGTTAGAGACCTTGAATGACGTGGCTCAAAATAGTTTGCAATGGCGCAGGTGCATCCATTCTTTGTGTTCTCACAAATTCTAATCTTCTGAATTCTTTATGTCCCTTATTTTCTTTTCAAATTTATTTATACTACTTGAATAACATCTTCAAACCCTATAGAGCGAATCTGTACATTTATATTAGATCGCTTATTAAGCAAGCTTCGAGTATTTGTGTAACGAGTCAAAAGCCTATTTAAATGGCTTCGTGCTGCACCTATGGACGCTTCGGTATCATTCTCTGTCGAGTCGTCACAACCCGAAAATTTACAATTCCGAGGTTCTTTCTACCAGCATCTAACGTAAGTTTTGGTTCATTTTTTGGGTTCTTATTTTTTTACAAGGTCTGCGAGCGACAAGTCCTTACGGACAAAAACCTCTGACCCCTTTAGCTTCTATCTATTGTGTAGTATTAAGTTTCGTTCATTGAGGGGCTTAAATACTACTTTAAGCAGCTTCGTTTGATTCTGTTTCAAGTTCATTCGGCTATTTAGTCCATACACCTTTGACAAGTAACTCCGCAGATATCCTGAGGCTGTTTTATCAACCAAATTTCATGCACAAAACGAGTTTTATGTTTTGAACTTCCACTCTCCTTCATTCTATGAAGGATAACTGGAGTGGCAACCACAGTCGCGTCAAATATACAGTGGGATTCAAGGAGAATATCGACGACTTGGGCGGTCAGGTTATTTTTCTGCTAGAAACAGATCTAGTCATGCGACTAGGTTTTTTCAGGCGCCTCCTGCTGGTTACCATTTGGAGGATGGGGGACAGCAGAAACTTTGTTTCATGAGCTATTATTTCAGACAGACCTCTCTGGAGTCAATCTTTCCTCCCCCGACCGTTGTTGCTACCTTGACGTGGTGGTCGAGCTTGTCTATTGTGACGAAACAACCGTTCCTCAAGGTCCTACCATGCCAGACAGGTCGGTTAACGAGCGGTAAGACCAAAACCAACAAACCCAAGGTCTGAGGACGAAGTCGTTCTGTTGACTGTACAGAGGTGTGACGGCAGTAAGGTGTTCCTCTCAGAAAACCCGCATAACAGTGATGCTGCCTTCCCACAAAGAGGGATGAGGTTAGAAAAGGTCGGCCCTAAAAATGCACACCTCGCCTTATCCCACGGATTTCCTTCTCCGGCGGTAAGGTCTCAATAAGTACGGAGCTAACACGAAAATTGCCCACAAAAAGTTCGTGTGTGACCGACCTTAAGCAGTTGTCCCTTGGGCACTGTGGTCACGCTCTTAGTTCACTAAGACCACCTCTAACCCAATTTCCTTTTCAGGCACCTCCAGAAGAACCCTTCCACGGTGTGGGAAACCGGGAAGTGATAACTATCCTCATACCTCTAACAGTACTCAAGATCACTGTATTCATGATCAATCACTCTCTTCAATTACTACTATTCCTCCTACCTCGACTTTCAACTCTAATCTTCCTCTCTTACTTCCTCCTCAAGTGTCACCATGGCCAACGATTCTAGTGCGTAAAACCCTGTCCCAGGTCTACTAAAACCTCGCTCCAAACTACACATTGGAGCCTTCAACGTATGCACTGTGTATCAAGTCGGCCACAGGCCTCCTTGGCTAAAACCCTAGAATCTTATACCATTGGTGTATGATGTGTCTCCGAAACACGTATACAAGATCCTAGTGTGGTTATTCACTTGACCTCACTTCGCCAAAACGGAGAGCCTACGAGATAAACCCGCCGCGTATCTGGATACCCGATAGGTAGTTCTTTTGGACTGGCAGGTTAGGCGTAGCACTAAGTACGAGGGCAGAACAAGCACTATTAGAGTGGATTACCGTTAACAGTCGTCTATGTGCTGTTCGTGTAAACGGCTCTGTAAGAATTCACTCCCACTAACTGCAGCCCAGATCAAATGAAAGATGACTTTTACATAAAGCTTCTTGAACTTCTTCATACAACTAAACGCTCACACATAGTACTCGTAGCAGGTGACTTTAATGCCTAGGAAGGTAGCTTAAACCGAACAGAAAGACATTCAAGTGGGTATTTTAGTATTCCGACACAACGAACAGATAATGGTGATTGTCTATTGCAACTGTGCTCAGACAATCGTTTGTTTTTAGCAAACACTAATTTTAAGCACAGAGAGAGAGACATCGTCTAACATGACGACCACCTGCACCAAACCAACGATGGACTCAAATAGACCATATTGCCATCATTCATTGTTGAAGAGGCTCGATAGAAGATTGTCGTTAGTTCTGGAATACCTGTTTGGATTCCGACCATGCTTTAGTACGCGCAAGCGTTTGCTTGCTCCTCATTGGACGCAGGAAAGCCGCACTAAGATGAGTCATTAGAATTAAACTAAGTAACGAGAAAGCCGAAAGTAGATTCCATGAACAACTGAGGTCATACTTAGGTAGTTCTGAAAATTAGGCTCACTCAGATGTAGCTTGGAAAGATATACAAACAGCTGTGGAAACAGCAGTGACATCTATCAGTGATTTAAACCAGAGTTACAAAAAGTTAATGGATTTCTTCTAGGTCTATTGCACTGATGGATTTTCGTAAACTCATCCCATCAGGCTCTGAACACGATGAAGAGCGAAAGCAAATCAGATCTAGGTTAACCAAAAGTCTAAGGAACGACCGTGAGCAGTGGTGGGCAACGAAAGCAAAAGAGATGGAAAAGGCGGCGACTATAGGGAACACAAGACAGCTTTACAGACTAATAGAAGAAACTGGAATTAATAAGTCGTGTAAGTCAGACTATTTCGGAAAAAGACGAAACCCTCATCTGCTCTCAGTCAACACGTTTGCAACGATGGGCGGAACACTTTAAGGAGCAGTTCAGATGGCCTTCAGCTACTCTACAACTACCCTCCGTTCTCAGACAGTGTGAATGGAACATTGAAGTAGGTCCCCCAACTCTTGCTGAAGTTCAAAAGGCTATAGTTAATCTGAAACGAGGAAGGGCAGCTGGTCCAGATGGATTGGCTCCAGAGGTCTTTAAGGATGGTGGTCCAATTTTAGCGATTAGGTTGACTAATATTTTAGCTAAAATCTGGGAGTTAGACGTTATTCCATCTGACTGGTTGCAATCACTTATCGTCCCAATATATGAGAGAGGGTTGAAAGCATCCTGTGACAACCACAGAGGGATTAGTTTAACTAATATAATATCGAAAATACTAGCCTCGATAATTATTAGACGCCTAACTATGACTCGTGAACTGCAAACACGAGAGAATCAAGCTGGCTTTAGACCTGGTCGTGGCTGCATCGACCACATATTCACCATTCGTCAGATTCTAGAACACAGGCATACCTATCGGCGTCCGACAATGGTGGTCTTTCTTGACTTGAAAGCAGCATTTGACTCGGTAGACCCCGAGATTCGGTGGCAGTGTCTGTCATTGAAAGGCGTACCTCAGAAGTACATAAACCTTGTGAAGGCTCTTCACTCGAACACTACCAGTCGAGTCAGAGATTACGGCGAGCTGTCATCTGCTTTTGCAACTTCAAGTGGTGTCCATCAAGGCTGTCCACTTTCCCCATTTTTGTTTAACTTGATCATAGATCTACTGATGGAAATAACTTTCTCGTCAACTGAGTTCTCGGGTATTGATCTACCAGGAGGTCCACTTATCGACTTAGAATACGCAGATGACATAGTCCTGTTTGGTGAAGACGCTGACAAAATGCAGAGTCTTCTGGTAGCACTGAGCAACAATGCCAGGATGTTTGGGATGCATTTCTCCACATCTAAATGCAAGTTGTTGCTTCAGGACTGGTCTGCGTCAACACCTGAACTAAGGATAGGGAGTGCAGTAGTCCTACGTTGTAGCTGACTGACTGTAAGTCAACTGTTACTGACCATAGTTGAGGTGACTTCACATCGATTTGTGTATCGACATGGCAAGTACTGTCTGATGTATCTCCACCTCGTTTGCTAATACATTTTTTAGCAGCATTTACCATCAGAATGCCCTCGGTCAGCAAGCCATTTGCATCCGAGCAGCACGGCTAACAAAACCACACGCAAACATGTTTACTAGACCGTTTGAAAGCCCCAGGTGTTATATTCGTACAAACTTCGTGGTACCATCCTTTGCACTAGTTGCACTGCATGCCGCTTTCAAGGATGTATCGACAGCCTGGGTGTTGGCATATGCAGGTCCAGCCACTAAACAGAGGTTCTGAAAAAGAAATCAGATACAATAATACCCAGAGATAAAATAAATTGGCGACCAAAAAAAGTGGGAAACTGAAAATTGTTAGCAACAAAAGTGCTAACAAGTACAATAAAAACAAAATTCCCAAAATTATCGACAACAAACTAATATAGAAACAAAAACGATACTCTTATCGAGTACTTTGACCGAAATAAATTAAAGTGAAAAGAGAAATCCATGCCAGGACTAACAGAGGCCATCAGGCCTCCTGTCTTTCCCAAACTGAAACTGATAAGTAATCAATTGTCTAAACAAGAGCTGTTTTGACAGGTGAAAATAGACTGGTCTACTTCCTGAGTTTGATTTATATTTTAAACGGACTGAAAGGTCTTTAATAAGATTTCCCAATCATTTCCAAGGTTTTACAGGATATGTATTCAGATTTCACTCCTTGGCGAAGTATTTCAACGCAAAGCTAACACGTTTACCAAATATATACTTGGTTTGCTCACAGTTTTGTTTGTATAATTAATATATACAGAATTCTGGTAGTTAAGTTGGAAATTACAATAATTCTGACAATCACGTGATTACTAATAGTCACCCTATTATCAAAACAGTCGCAAGAAACTACCACAATCTCGAATTATGATTCACCAACTTAACATACTGAACAGTTTAGAACTGACTGAAATGAGCGCAAACTAGCAACAATTACAAGTCCATTTCAATATCCAATATTCAAAGAGCCCGACGTGACCTGGTACACCAAATTGTAAACTGTGAGTCTGTTCCTATTTGGAATTCTGTATATTATTGCCCTATATTAATTTTTTGTATATTGTGATATTCTTTCCCGTGTTTTTGATATATATTTTTTTCACTCGTTCATTAATGAACGAGAATTCTCGTACTTGGTATTGCACCATGACGAAACAGACACCCAAGGTGCTTAAGCTGTAGACTGTCCTCACCTTCCTCTCAGTTATTGCCCTTCCGGCCAGACAACATCGAAGCCTGGTTCTGCTACGCAGAAGCCGACTTCTACGAGCAAGGCGTGAACGACACACGTGCACAGTTCTCGCAGTAGTCAAGGGACTACCACGGTGAATTCAACAGGTACGTAACACCTGGCATGTTAACTAGTGATGTGATCTGTCTCTAGATCACGGGAGACTGATAACCCCGGCTGGTGCTAATATCATAACCAGTATGGAAAGTCCTCCAGAAATTGCAGAAAACCCTGCAATTCTTCCAACTCAAAATCGATCGACACGAAAAACAATTCGAGAAACTTCCAAGCTGTCACACGTTAACGGCAACCATAGCCGGAGAACATAACCGTCTGTTATACTTCACAGATGTGACAACGAGAGTTCGCTACCTCGTCGACACTGGCGCAGAAGTTAGCGTTCTTCCAGCAAGGTACATTTATCTTAACATGGGTTTACGCAAACCCATCTACTGGATTTTCGTTGTTACAGATGTTTTCATGCCAACCATTGGTATAGACCTACTACAGCACCACAATTTAATCATCGATACGCGAAAACGGAGGCTAGTAGACGGAAACACCAATTTGCCTGTTTGCGTAACTTCTTTTTCTGGTTACAGATTATCTCCAGTCACAATTAAGCGCATGATAGAACAATTCTATCGACCACTACTCGATAAGTATTCTGGCGTATACCAAACACAACCGAAATCGCCATGTGTTACCAGCACATCACGACTACAGGACCACCTGTATTCCCTAAAGCACGCCGACTAGCTCCTGAAAAGTTAAGAATGGCGAAAAACGAATACATCCACATGATAGACTTTGGTATCATAAGATCGTCAAACAACCCATGGGCATCTCCGTTGCACATGGTCCCTAAAAAGAACAGCAACGATTGGCGTCCAACTGGTGACTATCGGCGATTAAATGCGAAAACCATTCCCGATCGTTCCACGTTGCCCCACATTCACGATTTTACAGCTACCTTGAAAGGTACAACTGTCTTTTCGAAAATCGACTTGGTTAAAGCGTATAACCGAATCCCTGTGGCTACAGACGATATACCGAAAACAGCGATCATTACTCCCTTTGGACTTTGAATTTTTGCGAATGCCCTTCGGTCTAAGAAATAATAATATATTTCTGCATGTGCAGTTACACACCGTTTTTACAGGCATGATCTATAAATTACAACATTTGTTGGTTGGCAAAATGCTTCCCAACTTATTAAGTTTATAGTTGTTATAAAGTGAAATCGTAGAGCGCTTGCTGTAAACTATGACCTTGAGAGGACGCGTACGTCAAGTTTGCTCCAAACGTCAGAAGTTTCATAGCTGTGCTCTCAGAACAAGATTCTGAAAAAGAAAAAAAGAGAAACAGAAGAGCATCAAGGCACTTGGATATGAACGCCAAAGGTTGCTTAACATTGTGTAGTAGTACGAACAGAGATAGAATAAATTAGAATAAATTCATATAATGTCTTGTTAGAGTGAAGTGAAGTCAGAGGCTCCATATTAGAAAATGTACTAATAAAGAACAATGAGTTGTGATGTTTAACAAGTTGGAGTAAGCTCACATGAAGTAAAGGAAGTCAAGGTTGGTACAAGGGAAGCGGTTTATTAGAAGGGTGTGTATATAGAGGGTGTAGTGTTAAGAATACTAGTGACTATATCTTTTATTGTCTTTTTTCTTTTCTTTTTTTGTCCATCCGATGTCAGCCACGCAATCCTAGTGTAAAAGTTCGAGTTAGCTTGTTATAGGTTGTCTTAGTAGAATATCTAATCCAGCATAATATTAGAAACATGAGTCTGAGTGGTGAGCGTAGGAAGACAATCTGTATCTTAGATTGACTGTCTTATTCTCAGTTATAAAGAGCCTGGTACATACAAAATGTTCTGTCCCCACAAACACGGGTGGATTGAAGTTATCGCCCTCACCATCAATGCTTGCTGGTCAGTAACTCCACCCTCCCTCCTTTTGTGATGTTAGGCTCATTTAGGCTTATTTTTGTATATACGTCATACCTCACACAATCCTGTTTCACAACCTGTTGGAAAGCACTATTTCTATAAGTACCATTTTACAAGCTTATCAGGCAGTTACAAGCTATGGACTGTGGGTAAAGCATCGATGCAGTGCCTCTGTTGACTATAGTATAAAGTATAGTTTGCCAATCAGAGCATTAGTGTTAAGAAGGGTATATTGTAGGGTAGTTGTTTATTTAAGCAGGCGGAAAAAGTATAGAAGTATACGAGTTGTGGATAAGGGAACGAGTGAAGAAATAATATTAATTGCTAGTCAACATAGTGTACAGAAGAGTAAAATGTTAATACAAGATAAACAGGAAGGAACTCACAGTAACTTGGAGCTGATGTTATTTTCTGTTGTCTTAACCAGTTGATTGGTAACAGGTTCCATAGATGCAAGACCACTGGTAGTAGGCAGCCGATTGTGCGGTCCTCTTGACTTTTTAGGGTGGTAGTGAGTGTCCCTTATCGACCGAGTTTAGTTTGACAGTAATGATAGGTCCATTGAGTTACCTGTCTACTTCAAGTGAAGAAATAGGGTGGAAAAAGTAATTAATGCAACTGCAAAGTAGGAAAAATAAGGCAAACTGAACTTGAAGTCCATTTTGGTCTAGGCATGGAGAGAGCCTATGATGTCTGAGTGGGGCGCAGATGTGTTCGTACGTGCAAGATCAGTGCGAGTGAGGGCTTGATCAAGCAGTTTCACAAACGTATATAGTTCATCTGCCATGCGAGTCTCGGAGGGAAGACTGTTCCATATTATTGCATACTTGGTGAGGAAGAAGTTTTCCCGAGTTTTTGATCTGTATTTCTCAACTTTGACCGTAGATACTTTGTTTCGAAGTCCGTATTAATGTGAGTCTCGGGCAAGAATTATCTGACATGTTGAATAAGTAAGGTTTTTGAGTAGTTTGAAGTAGAGAATCAAATTAGACCTAAGCCTTCTCTCCCAAAGGGGTGCTATTCCTAAGATTTGGCATCGAGAACTGTAGTCAATGACCGAGTCAGTCTTAAGTACTTTGCGGGTGAAGTCTCGTTGTATTCCTTCCACCTTTACTATATCAGATAGGCGTAAGTTGGAAAATAAGAACGAGCAGTATTCAACGATAGGTCTTACACAAACTTTGTAAAGAAGGATTTTAGATTCATTTTGATAGAAATTACGGAGAATGAAGCCAAGCAATTTCCTCATTTTGGATGCTCTGGCTGAGATGTGTTCAGAGAAATTAAGACTGTGTGAGTAATGTACCCCTAGGTCAGTTACTGATGCCAGTCTGGGCAGTGTGTGATTGCTGTGTTAGTTTCATTTTAAGAGACGTGTCTCCTATACATAACCAGCCGCATTTCTCTATGTGGAGCTCTAACCTCCAGCGTTTGCACCAGTCATCTACCATGTTGAGTTCATGTTGGATTGTTTGCAGAGTACTGCGTAAATCGCAAATGTCAGTTTTATAGATGACTTTTAAGTCATCGGCATAGAGGTAGGTCTTACCTGTGCTAAAACACTTGCATATATTGTTGATGTAGATTATAAAGGGCAATGGACCCAAGACACTACCCTGCACAACACCACTGGTTATTGGTCGAGGTGTAGATGTATTAGAGTTAATCTTGGTTATTTGATATCTGTTCGTAAAAAAAGACTTGATCCATCGCAAAAGGGGATTTATAATTCCAACTGACTTCAGTCTGTTGATTAGAAGATTATGAGGTACTTTATCAAAGGCTTTCTTAATATCGAAGTATAGTATAATAACTAGTTTCTTCTGGTCACGTATACGAGTAACCTCGTTAAAGAAGTCTACCAGGCATGTACTGCACGACCTTGTTCTAATGAAGCCGTGTTGTGACGCGTCTATTAGATCTTCCTTGAGTAGGTGATCAGATAGTTGATTTTGTATCACTTTTTCCATTATGCGTGATATGACTGGAGTGATATTTATGGGTCTGTAGTTTTCAACCAGGTTTCTCGGTCCGGATTTGTGTTTGGGAAGAACATACGTTACCTTCCAGGTTTCCGGATATGTACCTGTCTCTAAAGATAATGTGTATATTTTAAGTAGTAGCGTCTGTATGTCCGGTCCTGACATTTTATAAAGGATTGAGGGGATGTCATCGGCACCAGAACTCGCATTTAGCCTGGGGGTTTTAATGGCGGTATGTGTGCTCCTAATGTCGAAGTTTATGGTACTAAGATAATTTTTGTTGATGCACTTTATGTCGATATCTGGAGCATCAGATGTATTCCCGTTGTGAGAAAACCATTCACTTAATAGTTCACATATGACGGTTTGGTCATTATACGTTACTCCATCGTGCAGTAAGGAGTGAATGTTGTGGTCTGTGTTCTTTCTTATGCGTTTCGTGAGGAGACGACATAGGGCTTGGGCTTTAGATGCAGCAGCGAGCGCAGTACGTTCCTCTACCTGTTTATGTTTGTTGTGTTGACTTTGTACTCCGTCAAGTACAGAGTATATCTGGTTCAGGGCACTGAAGTCTTTTGATATATAGTACATCCTTTTCAGTTTTCGCAGTTTAGACCTAGTCTTTTGGTTTATATAGGGAGTAACTGTTTTAAAACCAATTTTAGAGGGTATAGTAGTGTCTAGTGCAGATTTGGTGGTGATATTGAATATTTCTAAGGTTTCTAAGAGGTTATCACTGGTAAAGAAACTGCCCCAGTCAGAGTGCTTTATTAGAAATCGAAAGTTTTCCCAGTCAGCGTTTGCATAGTCTCTATATTGGAATCGCGTGTTTAATGTCTTTAGTTTGTTGCATATGGCAAGAATCGGAAGGGTGCAGAGGACTATTTTATGATCGCTGTTGTGAAACTTTTCGCCAACCACCATTGATGTTGGTGTGACATTATGACAGAATATCAAGTCAAGAATGTTGTGATTTCGTGTAGGCAGGTGTACATGTTGTTGCCAGCCGTGTATGTCTAAGGACCTAAGTATGCTTTCAAAGCACAATGGGCCAGAATGTGTTTTCCAGTTGATGGTGGGAAGGTTGAAGTCACCACATACAATTTTGTAAGTGAAGTCAAGCGAGGCAGCCTGAGCAAATGACTCACTTATAATAGTGTCAGTTGAACTGGGAGTGTTAGGAGCTCGATATATGCATCCGATTAGTATTTTACACTCATGAGTGCGCACAGTAAGCCATATCGATTCAGGAAGTTTGCTGAGGACGTGGTTGCTATAGATTTCTGCTCTCAAATTTTTTGATACATAAACGAGACAACCACCACCCTTCTTGGTGACTCGATCACAGCGGAAGAGCTCATAGGTGTCTATTTGTAGATATGTGTCTGTGGTATCGGAGGACAGCCAACTTTCCGTTATCAAAACAAGTGAGGGGTTGTATAGAAGTAATAGGGTGCGTAGGTAAGTCATCTTACTTTGTACAGATCGAGCGTTGATTAACATAAGTGTCAGGTACGGTGACTGTTTGTCTAGTAGAAGGGTATGATGTAAACCGAGTGGTTTGTCTGTTTTGCCATGAGAAAAGGAAGAATTGGGAGCGTTGACTCCATATTGATGAGCGTTTAGTTTATTACCAGTAGGGTTAATGCTAGAAGGGTAGTCGGGTGTGGTTTTGGTGAAAGAAGTATGTCTAAGAGTGGAAAGTAGAGTTGAATGGTTAGGTAATGTGTCCGGGGAATGATCAGGGGGTTCAGTCAAGGAGTTTTCAAGACTAGAGACAGTTATCGAAGTTGAGTAGGATGTGCCACTCCCCATTAAATCGGAGTATATACATGGTTTCAGAATAGTGGGATTGTCGCCCTCAACATTTGGAGACCCCATAGCAGTAATGTTGAGGGGGAGATAGGTAAAAAAGGATGAGGTAGTATGTCGAATTAGGGGGGACTAAACCGTTGTATTGGGTGGCTTGACTTAGATAGTACCTAGAACCAGTAGGTGGGTTCCCAAGTAGGCCAACGTTATGGCTTCCTCGTGTGCGGTGGGCAATTTTAGTCCTATTGTGGTTAGTTGGGGAGGTTGTATGTTTCCGGTAAGGAATGGAGGAATGCCTGTTATTGTTGTCAGGAGAGGTGTTTCTGTTGTGTGTAGTTTTGTGTTGGTTCATGGGGCTTACAAGGTTGACACTATATGACTTATGGGTATCACGTGTGGGTGTTGCCACTTCACTATGTTTGTTGTAGGGCATTCTATTGCTATGAGAAGGTGCATGTTTTGGGTTAGGGGTGCTGGAGTATTGGTGGGTTTTTACGGAGAGTTTGGTATTATTTCGTACAGCGGTGTCTGAGAGTCTGTAGCTGTTAGCGCAATTCCTGGGAGGATCATTTTTAGGCATTTTATAGGGGCCGCTAGGGTAATACTTGGACGCTATTAAGGCATAAGTGGTTTGGCATTTTGGGGTAGCTGAGTGTTTGTGCTGAGGGTGAGTGGTTGTAGCTGCTTTATGTGCGGTCTTGTCCTTAGGACTAATAGCAGTGTCCGACGTGCCTTCGTTTTTTGGGGGGGGCAGTGTATGATATTTCAGGATTTGTGCAGTGACAAGAGCTGTAGCTGCCGCGGCTACGTAAGCTGGGTTGATCAGTTTGTGTTCCATTGCAGATTCGACGCTGGATAGCGGTCCTGTCATGAATGATCCTAATCTTTTTAAATGTTGGAATACGCCTCAGTAATGACTGACTATTGAGGAGGTGATTAGCTTCAGTGGTGCTACCAAACTGAAATAGAATGGGACAGGAGGCTTTAGTGTGTGCTTTACGTAATCTTCTTGTTACACAACAAGATCGCGACAATCCACATTCTTGTGGTAGAGTATTTTTAGCAATTTTTATATTCGTACTATCAGGTATATTATACACAATGACATTCTGCATACACTGAAGTCTTTTCAACACTTCAGATGATATATGGTCAATTGCCCAAACATTCCAAAGGTTCATAGGCGACATTTTTCGAGGTCTCAACTTCATACATGCGTACTTTGACGACTGTCTAATCGCGATTCCGGACAGAGAATCGCATCTCAAGCATCTGGATCTCGTTTTCGAACGACTACAAAAACATGGCATTACTGTAAACGTTCAAAAATGCCAAGTCGGAACCGACTCATTAGACTTTCTAGGACACACCATAGATGCGCAAGGCATTCGACCACTTGGGACCAAAGTGGCGGCCATTCTGGATCACCCAGAACCGACCACGATCAAGCAATTACGAACATTTAGCGGCCTTGTAAGTTTCTATAGACGATTCATACCGAAATGAGCGTTACTCATGAAACCGCTAACAAACCAACTTCGTGGAAATTCGAAATCCATCACTCTAGACGACACCGCGCGTAAAGCATTCTCCACAATTAAGGAAATTATCACTGAAGCAACAATGCTTGCACATCAGAACACTCAAGCATCCATTAGCATCGCGGTAGACGCATCTGACTGGGAAATCGGAGGAGTCTTACAACAATGGGTTAACAACTCCTGGCAACCCTTGGCATTTTTCTCTAGAAGGTTACTAGACACCGAATCGAGGTACAGCACATTCGGTAGGGAACTCCTAGCTATGTATTGTGCTGTACGGCATTTCCAACACTATATCGTGAATTCACTCTTTTCACAGACCATAAACCGCTCACTTTCTCGTTAAGCTCTCCTTCTGACAAGTACTCTCCCCGTGAGTCTCGACAACTGGACTACATTTCGCAGTTTACTTCAGACATTCAACACATCTCTGGAGCAAACAATGTAGTTGCAGACGCTTTATCTCGCATAACTTCCTTGAACAGTTTCCAAGGAATCGACCTTCTTAAACTCGCCGAGCTTCAAAAAGAAGACAGTGATCTTCAGCACGAGTTATCGTCCACAACACTTAAACTACGCATCAAACAGATGGGAACAGGTAAGGAAACCTTACTGTGTGACACATCTACAGGTAGGGATCGCCCAATCGTGCCGAAACATTATCGACGCGACGTCTTCAATACATTGCACAAACTTTCTCATCCAGGTGTTCGTGCAACCATCAAGCTTATAGCAGAACGGTTTTGCTGGCCTGGAATGAACAAAGACGTGATGGAGTGGGCACGTTCCTGTGTAAGCTGCCAAAAATCTAAGGTTATCAGACACAATAAATGTCCCTTAGGCTCGTTTAAAACTCCCGATGCTCGTTTCGACCATGTTCATCTGGATTTGGTAGGACCTTTACGATATTCAAATGGATAGTCTTATCTCTTAACCTGCGTAGACCGTTTCAATCGATGGTCAGAAGCAGTACCTATCAAGGACATCAGTGCTGAAACCGTGGCCCACGCCTTCGTCGAACGATGGGTAGCAAACTTCGACTGCTCTTCAACCATCACTATAAATCGTGGACGCCAGTTCGATTCTAGACTCTTCCGTTGTCTGACCGTACAAGGAAATGCTACTCTAAATGGAAACGAATAAAACTGTCGACGATTACGTTCAAAATTTGCTAGAAAGGCATTTTTGTAACATTTAGAATAAGACTTTTATTATGGGGTACCAGGACTCCTGAATCTTTTTCAACTAGGGACACTTCTAGAGATGAGTTGTCCAAGTTCTAACTGTAGTCTGCAACATGTCTCAGATGGTCTATGTCACACTTTAAAGTGTTAAAGGCAAGTCCGTTGTCGTCTGCTTAACTTTGAAGTCGAGCCAGATCCTCCTGAAGTGCCAGTATATCCTCTTGGTTGTGTATCTCTCTCCAAAGTTTCACACCATCAGTAACACGTAATGAGCCAGACGATACTTGTTGTGGAAGATCGTTTATATGAATCAAGTCCACCTGTTTTAAATTGTCCTGTAATGCTGACACATTCAACCGTTTGAAATTCAAGCACATGTTGTTGGTGGGTTGTCTTAGCTCATTTTTGCTAATAAAACTAAAGGCTATGACGTTGTGATCGCTTACCTTCAAGGGAACCAGGATTGCGAGGTCGTCAATTAAGAATTCTTCTTTTATAAACATACTGTGTAGAAGGCCGAGAATTAATAATAATAATAATAATAATAATAATAATAATA